CTCTGAGATGGTCCAAGATGACGGAGTGTGAGACGTACAGACCGCGAAGACACATTAAATTAATAATGTCGGGTTCTGGCCATGGGTCATTGTTAAAATTGACGATGACGCGGGCCTGGATAAGGTTTATGGCCGACTTCAGAATGCCTGCATGGACCTTCCATGGGGCGTCAAGACTGTATTGGGTTAACTGGGATGCGGGGAAGGACACTGGTATATAGCGATGGCAGTTCTGGATCCCGACGTGGAGTAGAGAAGGGGCGTGCCGGAAGCAATGAAGAGCGACCACGTCCTGGCTCTCCAGACGTTGGAACTGGAGCCATAACCTGTGCAGCACTGGAAGCCGATTTTGAAGAGTGTCGAGGAGGGGTACAAGATGTGGTGTTAAGCTGATGACAAGCTCCTCCCAACGCGATGAGTGCTCCGCGAGAAACCGGAAGATCTCAATTTGCGGGCCGGCGGGCTTCTTCTCCTGCCCGTGAAAGTGGATCTTTAGTTTATGGGCCCGTTCTATCTGTGTTTTGAGCATCGGCAATGGATTCGCGCGCGGCTGGCCACAATTGACGTCGACCCGCGACCACAATGCAGAAGTCGAGAGAGCAACCGCTCTCCAGCGACTGCTGATGTGTGTTAACACCCATGGGCCATCGTTAATGTCGAACTTGCGACGATCCAAAGCCTCCCGAGTTGTCGGCAACGTCCATGAGAATATTTCCGCGAGAACCTCGGGCGGCATGTGTCTGAGCGGCGACACGACCGCGTTATTCTGCGCCCGGTATTTGGAAAGCGACGCGCGCTCGTCCTCCAACTGCTGAAGTCGGCGTCGAACCTCCGATATCTTCTTCTCGATATCCGCCAACCGTGCCCCGATCTTTGCCACGACAGCCTGGATGAACAAAATTTCCGCGTCCTGTGGGAGCGCGTTGGTGGTCATGAGCTCCTGGTGCCGCATCAGCGTTCCAGGAGCGACCGAGACATTGATATTCAGGGCTTCTGCGGACCAGGATGAGGCAGTAACGGCGGCGCCACATTCCGAGCAACGGGTGGCAGACATCTGTGGTGCGCTTCAGTATGCATGTCGGTCGGTCGAAGAAAAAACAGGACCGGTGGAAAGAATCAGAAGTTTTAAAAGCACTTGAGGCTGAGGTTTTTGCCCTTCAAATGCTTAGTTTTGTTCAGAGTCACGGTGAACGTCTACCTGTCTGTCCAGGAAGGTCATAAGCCTTTGGATGCGCACCATTGGATACCAAAAGAAAGAAAAAGCCCCGTACCAATGCAACGAACGGGTTAAAAGTTCTGAAAACCGGCGCTTTGAAAGTCGATGATCGTCCTGACTCCCAGTGAAACCTGAAAGGACGCCGTCCCAGGTGCGCCCAGTCCGCGTCTGCGTACGCAAGTTCAAGACGTGCAAGTGGCAAATGCAGAGTCGACGCAGTTCGCTGAAGAAGAAACGCACCCGGCTCGGGTCACGCCCCTGACTAGGCCTGACTCCTGAGTCCAAATCAGTGTCACACATACTTAAGAAAATTTATTCCAGACGTGCGCCCCAAGTAGTTACACAGCTATAGAGACGCACGCCAGGGGCGTGCCCGGATAGCCTACGACAAGATAGACCGATACATCACACTGAGGTATATTACGAGGTTTTGTGCAGTCGAGTGGAGTGAAGGGCAAGGGTAACAAATACATGTATTAAGAGGCGGGCTAGCGAAGAAATAGAAATAAGGGCAGTATACGAGATACGGGACTGGGTAGCGCGTTAAGGTATGTGGGAGTATATATGCTGTGCCGTTCACATGTACATGAAGACGAAGACAAAGGGACGACGGAAGGGGAAGGGAAAGGGGAAGGCAGAGCCAGCGGACAAAGTGGTGGAAAGAGATAGACGTCGAGGTGGCGAGACCAGAGGCGGAATTGAACAAATGAGGCGGATTCGGCCGTGCCGATTCCAGTTGCGTACTCCGGTTAGCACTGGGCTACACATGTCCTCCACCATCGATATCCTCCCGACTCAGTGCTCAAGCACAGTACGCAGCCACGTCTCCTTCTCGTCCGGGGGCAGCGGGTACGGGCGCGGGGCTAGCGGAGAGTGGGGGGCGCGACGTGGGTGCGCGCGAGCCTGTACGAAAGCTGTGCCAACTTGTCGTGCAGCGTCTTTACCGCGCTGTGAATCTTGTTCTGGTGGATAACGCGCAATTCGCCCGCGGAGCCTCAGGCGTGCCTATATGGCAGGCGGGAGGCGGGAGGTCGTTGCGGAACTCCCATAACCCCCGGTCTTCGCTGCAGCACCAGCGGCCACCGCAGCCCTACACGAGTCGCGAAGTCAACACTGGTGTAGCCGTCCGCGCCGCGCATGCGGAGGTGTCGTGGACGAGCTTCCATCGCTCTCAGCTCGCCGCAGACTTGACCCCCCCGCGCCTCGCCCCGCTAAACCTTCCCCTTCTTGCACAGCTCCTCGTGCAGCCGAAAATAGTGCCGACCCACAGGCGTACCTATGCCGATCCCCTCCCAGAGAGTGTACGCTCGACCGGTAACCCATACACTTCCTGCCTTCCCTGGTCTCGTTGCCTCTCCGTCTCCTCCAAGGTTGCGCCGCGCTCGCTCCTCGTGGGCAGCGAACGGGCAGCTTCCGCCGCACAGGGTGCCAATCAGGTGTGCACGGGGCAGGACGGGCGCCGCGAGGCGACTTGGACGGGCAAACGCCATATGCGTGGACTCGGCGGACGAAGATGAGATGCGGATATATTCCCCCGCGACGGCGGGTACGAGAGGTCTATCTTGGGAAGACCATCCTGGGCGTCGTCGATCAGGTGCAAGTTGAGCGGGAGCGGTGGACAGGTAGGAGCGGCTCGGTGGCCACAGTACGCCGCGGGGTGAAGGAGCTTCTCGCAGCCAGCGTGTTTACGACGCATGCGAGCGGGTATGGATGAGCCCTACTCGCGGGTGTGGGGGACAAATCGCGCCGCAATAGCGTTGTTCCCGCCATCCCCCCGCTGCTTCGGCAGCTCCTCTGTCTGGCGCCACCGCCCGCGCTGAAAGAACAGTCACTCCAGCCTCGGGCCCCATTCCTATTCCCGACCGCCACTGCTGGACGTCAAACACGCACGCCTTGTCCGGTTCTGCTCCGTCCTGCGCCACCGCTCGTGCTGAGAGCACGGTCGATCCAGAACGCAAAGCGGCGGCTTTGTCCCACGTCCTCTCCTCGTCTCCTCCAAGGTGGAGTGGGCGTTGGCGCTCGCACTCCTCGAAACGGGTTCCCCCGCACGGGGCGGCGCCAGTCGGGTGTGCGTGCGTCACGATCAGCGACGGCGGAGAAGCGCGATGTGCCTATTCGAAAGACGACGTCCTCCTGCGCGTCGTTCGTTCGTTCGTGTTGAGCCAGCCACCGGGCACGAGCGCCTTCAGATCGTTTTCCTGTCGTAAGCTGCAAAAAAACTTAGCCCATTTCCCGGAGTACAAAAAGCGAGGTACCTTTGCACCGGGCAGGACGACGTAGATACGCGGAGGGCGCAGAACAGCGAAAAGATGGGAACGACCATGTTGGGATGGGACCGCGGGGGTAGGGGTAGGATCGTAGAAGAGGAGGGGATGGCCGTGGGGTGATGTGCGCAGGCGAGCGAGGGTGTGGATGAAGGTTGAGGAAATAGTGCCGCAGCTCGAAAGTGCCATTGCGGTCCCCAGTCCTCAGCAGCTCCTCGCTCCGCCGTCTCGTGCCGCTGGAAGTAGTGCCGATCCACTGTATCGGAAGGCGTTCGAACAGCAAGAGGGGGCGTATCCCCTTGTTTCCTTTTCCCCGTCGCGGCCCCGCAGCCGCTCCATATCTGCTTCCCAATGCCGCGCGCGCTCCGCAGGTACTTCCGCCACACGGGGGGTCAGTCCGGCAGAATAGCCGCGGACGGACATATGCACGGGCTGCATCGTGTTGCGGGGAATAAAGGTGAAATGAGGATGGTATCGCAGCGACAGCTTGTAAGAAGCGACTGTGGTGGGATGAAGGAGGATGGTGTACGACTCCACGTGTGCGAGGGTATGCTTGAAGATTCCGTGCGAGGCGACAGGGCGCTCTGGCTCCACGATCGTCAGAAGCCACTCCCGTGCTTCAGCAGCTGCTCTGACCGTGCAGCAGAAAGTAGCAGCGCATTCGCCTTCCAGCTCCAATGCTCCGTATCTTCCCTCGCAAGTAGTGCGTGTGCGAGCGGGAGGTCAACGTTCGCTTTCCTATCTGCTGCCCATCCCTTCGCGTCGTCTTCGATCTAGCGTGCGTGGGGCAGGCCAAACGCGAGGGGTGATAGCTGCGAGCACTTCGGCGGTCACTTGGAAGAACATGAGTGGGGCTTTTGGGCAACGGATAAGGTAATCACCGCGAGGACACTTGCGAGGTGTTCGTTAGAGCCTGCGCCCGAGCCAGCGGAGAGACGCGAGCGGCGGCGGGTACGACGGCTTGGATGAACACGGCTTTAGGACACATCACGGAACTGCTTCCATCTGGCGAGAATGATTCCGCCGCACAAGCGGGGACGAAGCCTCAGCGCAAGTTGTCGTGGGACGTCTTTCGCGTCGTCCGTGGGGTGCCCCGTCATAATCCGCTCCGTCTGAGCCCTCCATCGTGAGTGCTGCATTCGCTTGAACAACGGAAGATTCAAGGCTTCAGGACCGCAAAGCGTCGAAGGACCTGGCCTCCTCCCAACCTTGAACGTATTATGTGCATTTTCAACGCACAGGGCGTAGTGGTTTGTGACGGAAGGCCGGGGACAGCCACAGTGCAGCCACTGATCGGGGACATCACAATGTACATGTCTTCCGTGTCCGACTCTCCGACTTTGTGCGCGCAGGATGTCCAAGCTCCAAAAAGTAGTCAAGCGTTGATTCGGGACTCTAGCAGAACGAAAAAGAGGAAGTGGACACAATTGAGTCCGAGAACCGGAAATTCAGCCGGCCAGCTGACAAAAGGATACGTTTGGGAGTCGCAGAAGTCGTTCTCAGGCGAAACATGAAAAAGATGACCACCGCAGGGGTCGAACCTGCAATCTCCTGATAACGTAAAACACCTGTCGTAGTCAGACGCGATGCCATTTCGCCAGGCGGCCATGAGAAAACAATCAGCAGTTGAGGATATCCCCCGGGAGTCCAACGGAGTCCTCTGTCAATTCATCTCAAGACTGTCAAGTTTCAACGGCCGCTGAATCTTCAAAACGAAATCCTTACGTCCATCGAGGTCTTCTCTCTGTCAATAGCAAGGACTGCCGCCCTAGGCCTCGCTGCCCGCTTTATTCCAACTCGGTTTTCCTTGACAGCCCCCAAAAAAATGAGGAAAACACGGGAAAAAAATACGAAACGCCTGGAGGGAAAAACGAAAACGCGGACCGCGTGGAAGGGGAGCAAAAAATATGACCACCGCAGGGGTCGAACCTGCAATCTCCTGATAACGTAGGAACCCGGTCGTAGTCAGACGCGATGCCATTTCGCCAGGCGGCCGTTGTGGAACATGTCTTCGATGAAGATAGGAGCGAGTGGGTTGGGCAAGGAACGGCGAAGTGAGGTGTCTTGTTTTGTCGATGCAGCGAATGAAGCGAATGAAGGCCTTAGGCGAAAGTCAGAGTAAGCGGTGGGACAGAAAAAAGTATCGGTGAGCCCACGCGACGCTTGATCCGTCCCGCTCACTCTTCGCACGCGATCAACTGACAGTGACAGGCCGATCACATCAGTTCAAGTTCGACTTGGGAAATCAGATTTAGGGACCCACAAACGCCACAGAATCTGGCTCGACTGGGGCCTTGTTGTTTTCGAACTGAGTTCTCTGCGTCACACGTACCCGCTGGATGCATTGTTCTCCTTATCTTCATCTTGGCCGCCTGATCGTCGCCACCACCCCGTCGAAACCAACAGATACGGCGAGCGCCACGCTAATTTCTCACACGGGTGATCTTATCCCTTCTGCAATTATTTCTGGACGTAACTTAACTTTGACCGGGATGTAACCAGTGAATTTTCCCGAAGTTCTGAGTGGTAATCCCCTCCCTTGAACAGCAATCAAGCATCGTTTAAGAGGCCGACCATGTGTTCCCGCTCGCGCCTTCTCGACGACCGACTGGGGTTCAGCTCAGCCATGTCGAAGTCGATGGTCGCGCGCCCCGCCTCGTCGACCACCATGTTCTCTGGGCGAATATTCTGGTGTTTTATATTCACAGCATGGATGGCATCCATGGCGCGGAGAAATCCATCGCTGGATAATAATGAGACCCAGGAAATGGCAGCTCAAGGAGACCGACATACCGTTCTGCATCCGTCACAGTTACATCCAGGCTATCCTCGGCGAAGTTCATCACCATCGCCAAAGGCCCGCCTTCCATGTCTTCGAGCAGCCCGAAAACGGTGACCACACCTTCAACGTGAGCTGGGGCCAGGTGGCGATAGATTGAAAACTCGTGCCGCATCTTTCCCTTTTGAGTTACAGAGAAGGCGAACTTCACAACAACTCGGACTGTGAAATCACTATCCAAGTCGGGTATCGTGAGGTTACCGCCGTGCACGATTCCAGTGGCGCCTCGTCCAATTTCAGATGTGAGTGTGATAAGCATGTATTCGTGGCGGCCATAGTGCTTCTTGATTTTGTATCGTCGATTCGGACCCGGATCATCTACTGCAAGAGAGGGCGCGCAGCGATTGAACGCAACTGGCCCCTGAGAGTTGAAAATTTTGTAGCGGAAAACAATCAAAGCAATGTTGCGGAAGCCAATATCCTAAAGCACGTCAGTATGAATGCAGAGGGAAGCTGCAAGACCACACTTTTGAATTATCGGAGATTCACATGGTGCATTAAGTATCCGACGTTTATTGGGCGCAGCATCACACAACACTCTACCCAAAGAGCCAGGAGTCTCGCTCGGTACTGGGTCTGTTTGGGATTCCGCGTTCTTGAGTTGCTCCAAGCGATCCACCAAATCGTGAAGGATCGAGATATACAGCCCGACGTGGATCTTCCCGTAGCCGGGGTTTTTACAAGTTTGAGGTTCTATGAATTCGGAGAGATAAAGTGTCTGAGCCGCACGGTGCCAGAAAGCAATTCGCTCGCTGTTCTCATTGTAAAATACTATGAACGTAGAATCGAGCATAGCAGTACGGGTCCATGCCTACGGTCATTTGTTAGATGATGAGCGGAGCCTGAAACAATCTCGAACGTACGTGTTGGAGATACCTGTCCGGGAGTGTACTTGGCGACGTTGCATATTTATTAGGAAGGGTTATGGATCCTTCCGACCGAGTCTTCCTAGGTAACGGAGAAGCGTTATCTCCACGAACTGCGCTTGGCCGTAGACTCCTGCGAGACGCGTAGTTGGGAGGACGAGACTTTGAGGTCGAAGATTCGGAATGGATGGGCACAGTCCAAGGGGTCGTTTTAGAATCTGGAGGAAACGCGTCGAAGGAGGGTTGTGGCACAAACCCGACAGCCCCGCATACGTGCGCAAAAAATGAATCAGATTCCGCAACTGCCCCCATATCGTCGATGAGGTCGTCCGCCTCGTCCGAAGACATAAACACCTGCCACACCGCCAGGCCTTGGAACCGCGCCATTATGTCGCGCACCAGCTGGCGTGTTCCCTCATCCAGGGAGTTCCAGAGGTTAGGATATATACGGGGACCCTTTCCAGGCACCACCTCTGGGATCTGTGGAGCATACTCTTCTTCCAAGTCCGGAAACCGCGTGGGTGGTCGACATTCCAGTCCACGGCGAAATGCGAGAACTCTAGCCATTCACCAAGCACGGCATCGTCCTGACGAATTGCAGAGCCAGTTTATCGTCGAGGTGCTTGTCATAATTAAAAAGACGTAAATTCAAGCTTTAGATCGGAGTGAGAGTCCGCTGAGAGGACTTGAACGACGGGAGGTGGATTATAGGCGAGTAGGAGGGAGAGTTCACGGTATAATGCGTCGTAGTCATCTGCCACTTGAAGTGTCCCGTGTGATCCCATCAAACCTCTGAATTTAAGATCTGGTGGCAGTGCTTAGGTCAATTCCTCACAGGCCTCACCATCGATTCTCCGATTCCAAACGCTACCCATCGCGGCTACACACCAGATTTACTCGCGATCTGCTGACGAATCCGCCACACCGAATTTCGCAGTCCGAAATCCCCCATGCTTCTTCCAGTATCCACAAAGTGGCAACTTTCATTGGCCGCCTGGCGAAATGGCATCGCGTCTGACTACGACGGGGTTCCTACGTTATCAGGAGATTGCAGGTTCGACCCCTGCGGTGGTCATATTTTTTGCTCCCCTTCCACGCGGTCCGCGTTTTCGTTTTTCCCTCCAGGCGTTTCGTATTTTTTTCCCGTGTTTTCCTCATTTTTTTGGGGGCTGTCAAGGAAAACCGAGTTGGAATAAAGCGGGCAGCGAGGCCTAGGGCGGCAGTCCTTGCTATTGACAGAGAGAAGACCTCGGTGGACGTAAGGATTTCGTTTTGAAGATTCAGCGGCCGTTGAAACTTGACAGTCTTGAGATGAATTGACAGAGGACTCCGTTGGACTCCCGGGGCATATCCTCAACTGCTGATTGTTTTCTCATGGCCGCCTGGCGAAATGGCATCGCGTCTGACTACGACAGGTGTTTTACGTTATCAGGAGATTGCAGGTTCGACCCCTGCGGTGGTCATGTTTTTGCGCTTCTTCCTGCCTTGCGTCCTTCGTCCCAATTTCCTTCCGCTTGAGATTTTTTTAGGCTCAAGGGGACTTCACTTGGTATAGTCCAGTTTCAGTTTCTTTTGCCGGCTATGCGATGCGTCCTTCGTCAAAGCTTGAGAATGTTTTTACGTAGGCTGAGACTGAAGGGGTCTTCACTTGGTATGGTCAAGTTTCGGGTTCTCTTGCTGACTGTGCGATGCGATGCGAATATATCCTGCACGTTGATTCTCCCCCGGCTGCAGTGGCCGGATAGCTTAAGTATTCGACGTGCACCCCGTGAGTCTAGATACTGATAGAATCCGGTAGCATTCCCCGTAGTCCGGTAGCCCAACGAGGTATCCCCGACCCCGACCCCGACCGACGCGGCGACTCCGTGCTTGAAGCTCGATCAAGTAGCTGTGCTGCTGTAGTTGGATCGCGCGCATATCTAATCTGCTCGAACGTCGGACTCGGACTCGGACGAAACATGTACATAATAATATGTACTAGGCCTGGAATTGATATCGGTACCCGTGTGCCTGGAACGGATAGCGTGATGTTATATGTGCCAGGGAACGCTTGGGGGGGATGGGTGGCGGAATGGGAGGTAGGCGGGCGAGACTCGGCGGCGGGGGTCTGGGCGAGGCGCAGGCCGGCGCTGGAACGGATGCATGCATCACAGGTACCAGACACCGGCATTGATAAGTAAGCGCGGCGACTTCGAGGTTCGGGATGGAATCATGTATACTATGTATGTGCGGGGGAGATTTGTGGTTGGAGGAAGGAACTTCGGAAGAACGGCGACATACGTGATCGGCGGGCGCGGGCGCGGGCGGGGGGCGGGCGCCTCGGCCCTCGGCCCTCGGAGACGTTCGGGGATGGGATATGTCACATGCGGGAGAGATGTATGTCGGAGACGTTGGCCGCGGCGAACACGCCGCGATTAGATAGTGCGATCTTGGCTTGACGTGACGTGATAGAGTGCTGCTTGAAGGAGAGGAGGGCCCTGGGCAGGTGAGGTGGATCGCTGATCCGGGGCGCCATGGCCATGGCCATGGCAGGGCTGGCAGATTGATGCAGCTAGCACTATGTGCTTGGATATTTTTAATTTACGGCGGAGGACCGGGGGCGGGGAACTGTGAAACGGCGGTACGGTGTACCGTATAGAGCCTAGAGGCGGGGGGTGAAACAGGGCAGGGGCGCGAGGCGGTTTGAAGGGCGGACGTTGGGTCGCACGGGACCTGTCGGCGCGCGGGGAACGAGTACTAGTCCGAGAAAGGAGCAAGCGCGCGTGGATGCGGGGCTTTGCGGCGCGGGTTGGATGGACCATGCCAGTGGGCGCGCGAGCAGTCGCAGCGCGGAGTCGGCGCGGGAGTAGTCGTGTCGCGGTGGAAGTATGTGTGAACGAAACACAGAAGCGTACGAGGGGAA